CAAATCGTCCCTCATCCACAACCTGATTGTGGATGAGGGGGCTAACCTGGCTTGCATAACAGAGACCTGGGCAGGAGAGGGGGTGGATGTCGGCCTCTCTCAGATGTGCCCGCCTGGGTATCTAGTTCAGCACCGTACACGCCTGGAGGGGAGGGGGAGTTGCTTTGGTATACCATGCCTTCATCTCCCTCACGGGGCTTCCAGTCCCTTCGAGGCTGGGGCTAGAGTGCCTCTACTTGGTGTTGGGCGACCGAGACAGATTGGGGATTCTGTTGGTGTACTGTGCACCCTTCTGCCCAACAGACTCCCTGCCTGAGCTGACGGAGATCATCTCGGACCTGGTGTTGAGGACCCCCAGGATGTTGGTCCTGGGGGACTTCAATCTCCATGCCGGGACTGGTCTGTCCAGGGCGGCTCAGGACTTCATGGCCTCCATGACGGCCATGGGGCTATCTCAACATGTCACAGGCCCGACCCATGAATGTGGACACATTCTGGACCTGGTTTTCTTGACGGGACAGGAAGAGGGTGGTCTGAGGGTGAGGAATTTATGTCTAACACCCCTGTCATGGTCAGATCATTTCCTCATGAGGTTTGTGTTCGAGAGTGGCCTTTCCCTCTGTAAGGGTGCGGACCCGATTGTGTGGGTCTGCCCCCGGAGCTGGATGGATCCGGATGGATTCCTGAAGGCCCTGGGGGAGTTTCTGGTTGACAAGTCTGGTCGTCCTGTTGAGGCTCTGGTCGAACTATGGAATGGGAAATGCCCAGGGCTATTGACACGATCGCTTCCAAGCTTCCTCTACTGCCGGGCAGAGCCCACTCTTCCCCTTGGTATACACCTGAATTGTGGGCGATGAAGCGGGTTGAGCGTAGGTGGAGGAAATCACAGGATGAATCTGACCGAACACACTTAAGAGCCCATTATCGGGCCTATGCTGTGGCGGTGAGGGCGGCGAAAAAGACATTCTTCTCCGTTTCCTCACAATGCCGTCCGGCAAAGCTTTTTTGGGTGGTACAAGGGCTGGTTCATCCTGGCCCTAAGAAAGATCCGGTACCACTCTCAAAGGCCCACTGTGACAACTTTGCCAAGCATTTTAGGGAGAAAATCACTCAGATTCGTCATGAGCTGGACTCCACTAGTGACCCAGAGGCTTCTGGGGAGATACCAATGTCGCTGTCTGGTCCAAAATTGATGGATGAGTTTCAGTTATTGAGGCCTGATGATGTGGACAAGGTGCTGTAGATTCATCCTGGAAGCTTAGGTGACAGCGGTGGCAAGGAGCGCTTTCCTTCAGCTTCAGCTGATCCATCAGCTATGTCCCTACCTGGAGAACGACTGCCTGGCGACAGTGATATACACATTGGTGACTTCCTGACTTGACTTCTGCAACGCGCTCTACGTGGGGCTGCCCTTGAAGACGGTCCGGATACTTCAATTGGTTCAAAATAGAGCTGCCAGGCTGCTGATGGGGACTGGGCATTATGTTCACATGACTCCAGTTCTCCGTCAGCTTCACTGGCTCCCCATTGAAGTCCAGGCCCAATTCAAGGTGTTGGTGATGACCTATAAAGCCCTAAACGGCTTGGGTCCTGGTTACCTAAAGGAGCGCTTACGTCCATATGTGCCCGCCTGCCCCTTGAGATCAGCGGGAGAGGCCCTTTTCCGGGAACCCTCCGTGAAGGATATTAGGAGGGTAAGTACTCGGAGGAGAGCTTTCTCTGCGGTGGCACCCAATCTATGGAATGTGCTCCCCGAGAGGTCCGCCTGGTGCCGTCATTATTTGTTTTTTGGCGCCAGGCAAAGACCTTTTTATTTAAATGTCATTTTAATTGTTAATATTATTTATTGATTTTACATCTTTGGCCAGGATGTCTCCAACTATAGTTATTATGTTATTTATTGTTGTGAGCTGCCCCGAGGCTTCAGCGAATGGGGCGGCATAGAAGCTTTCTAAATAAGTAAGTAAGTAAGTAAGTAAGAGGAATATTTAGGATTACAGTATATTGTTTTCATCTAATAGCCCTATACTGAGGCAGCAATCATGCACATTTAGATGGAAAAAAGTCTGGGGCATGCTAGGATTTGCAGACTTTTTCTGTCTAAACATGCAAAGATTGCACCTTAAATAGTTAAAAAATGTAGTTCAAAGATTCAACATTTATTAGACTTTATTAGAAGCACTTCGATATTTCGTGGAGGTGGCACAAGCTATGTAATACTCAAAAGTTTGTATATTCCAGATTGTTTTATTGCTTCTATGAAAGCAAACTTTTCCTTCCACCTTGTAATATAAAATGCTTCTAAAAATTTCTATGCTCCAGCTTGCCACTTATTTAAAAGCTGGAACCTGCTCCTTGTGCAAACAACTCTTGATCCAAAGGCAGAATCACCTTAAGAATCTTATGCATTCCCAGACATGAGTCTTGTTGAGTTCATTGGGTTTTGTTGCTCAGTCACAAAGTCATGCCCGACTCTTCATAACCCCATAGACAACTTTCCTCCAGGTTCTTCTAGCCTTCAGCATCCCCCAGAGCCCACCCACCTCCCCAGTGACCTCATCCAGCCACCTCAACCTCTGCCATCCCCTTCTTCTTTTGCCTTCAATAGTTCCCAGCATCACAGTCTTTTCCAATGAGTCCTTCCTTCTCATTAGGTAGCCAAAGTATTTCAGCTTCAGTATCTGGCCTTCTAAAGAACAGTCAGGTTAAATTCTAAAGAAACAGTCATTGGGTTTACACACACATATAATTAGATACAGGAAGTCAATCAGGAGAGTTTGCTATCTCCTCCTCCTCTCTGTGGCTGTTCATGCAGCATTCCACAATGTTCAGGAAAGAACTTTCTCCTAAGGGAGGCTTTTAAGGAGGTGTAGATGGCTGCAGGAGAGAAGGAAAATCTGCCTTCCTGTATGCATGAATTTCTTACTTACAAGGGGGTGTGACTGACTTGTGCTATTAACTGTTACAGTTAAGCAAAATCAGCATTATAACCACCATCAGCATTTTTAAAACCCTTTTTAAGAAGATTGCCACCAACTGGTAAGAAAAAGCAGTGGTAGGAAATTGTAAATAAAAGAGAATGTTTTACTGGGTTGTAAATAAAAGAGAATGTTTAGATCTCCTAAGAATTACCTGTTTAAAGTAGGACAATATTAGCAACTAGTAGAATACTCCCTGTCCACGCCTGTCTACAGATTTGAATATTCCAAGCACTAAGTAGCAATGTACAGCTCAGAGCGCTTTGGCAGTTGGATGATATAGAAATTAAATTTGGCACATATTGTAGATTCACATTGGTACTTGTCTGTAAGCCATACCACCAGAAAATATTTTTAAAGGGTTGAGTAGAAATTCGCTTTTAAAAGTCTTCCTAATATGATCTGGTCATAATCTTTAAAAGTGCAAGAGACCTAACCAAACACCCCCTAATGCTGAGGGAAGCAAGTGTGAAGGGAAAGTTATGACATTGTACAGGTGTGTTAGATGCTAGATATGACTAAAGCTCTGATTTAAGGGGGGCTGGATAATGGTTACTGATGTCATAAAGACACTGCCTTTTCTGTAGTTAACATAGTTCACCAGCGTCAGTCACAAACTGATTAGGACTAAAGAGGGGAAGGAAGCAAGGGTTAGAGTTAAGAAAGGGAAGTAACAGAGTTTAGGGTTCCATTGGAACAGAAAGCCAGGAAGTAAAACCTAAGGGGAAAAAAAGAGAAGCTTTGCCTTACATCACATTTTTCATCTCCATACACCTCTCTGGCATTTGGGTTTACAAAATGCAGAAAGCAACTCCTCTTCAATATGTGCTTTTATCTACAGCACATACCTTTTTGTATTGAGGATAAATATTGGGTACCAACCTCATGATGTCCACCCCTCCCTTGTCCACTGATAGCTGCTAATAAGTTACAACATTTCAGAACACCACTATATGTCAGCTGAAGTCACAGTAAGTGTGACTTAGCCAGTCTGGGCACAAAGTATTTTGTTGTCCAACATCGAGACTAAATAGTACCCATCCTGCTTGAAATGGACCGCACATGGTGCTCAATAGTTTACAAGTATACGTATCCCCCCTCTTCTGAAATGAGCACTGCTGCTTGGCAGGCCTGGCCAAGTTGAACTAAGGCCAGTGAGACCCAGATTCAAATTCATTTTAGCTAGCTAACATCTCTCAGCCTAAAGCACCTTACAGGATTACTGCGATGCTAGAAAGAAAACTGGTAAACAATTACCTTGAGTGCGATATAGGAAAAGATAAATAAGAATGACCGTTCCTCCATAGCACTATCAGCAGTGCAATTTTGTTACTTGGCAACTGATATTTGCCATGTGTAATTACTAGGCAACTTAGCTAGAATACTGTGTGATGAAGCAGCATCAGATGGGGAACCTTTAAGCTGTGGATGGGGAACCTTTATGGGACCAAGAATAAGTCATCTAGGAAACCTTGCAGGGACTGCATGTTAATAGTGGGCAAACCTACAGCCCATTCATACTCAATAGTCGTCACACCATTCTCTCACACATTCTTGCTTTCTCTTGCTTTCTTGGCTGATTCATGAAGATCAGCAACTGGGGGAGGAACTACTCAGCACTAAGAAAGTTTTTTCTTCTTCTCAGGATTAAGAAGAAAGAAACTCATTCCTAACCAGAATTTCTCCCTGCCTGGGACACAGGGACAGAGCTTGGGAAAAAGCTTACAGGCAGGATATGAAACCCTTCTGGACCAGAGCTTCCCCATGACAGCAATAGCATGTGTTGGACTTTTTGTATTGAATGTTAATTTATGTTGCTCTCCTATACACACATACCTGATAGCAATTTCAACTAAACTTGAGGAAGCTTCAGCTCCCTGTGTTCTCTAGCCAGTTGGTTAGCTAGGGAATTCTGGGAGTTACAGGTCTTTATTCTACCTGAAATGGCATATGATCGCACCTTTCATGGTCTTTTTACTTTGTTTAATAAGGTGGTATGGACCTCCTGAGTACAAAATTATCTGAGCTATTTTATAAAAAGTAAAGATTTATTTATTAACACATCTGTATCCAATATTTGGGACAGTGAACAAAAATTAGGTGTTAATATTTTCCTCTAAAAACGTAAGTAAATAACAAAATAAAAACATAATTACAATGATAACTAATTTACAGATCACATTGTAAATCAGTTAAGCACAATATATATAATTTAAGAAGGCTAAAATACCTATTTTGTCTTATTTTGAAAGGGGAATACATTTGAAGAAACAAAAAGACTTTGCAGTATTGTCAACAAATCTGAGAATAAATTACAATATAACTCGACAGCCAATGCAAAAAAAAAAAAAAAATCAACACAGATTACTATTTCTTCAAATTGGGCTGGCCATCTTCTTTGATTTAAGGGTCCCACTCTCACTTAGGATCTTTATCACATTTTGAACATCTATTCCTTGATTAAAGAGAAAAGAGTAAAGTTATTTTCTGTTCAAACACAACATTTTTTAAAAAATGGCTTGGATCCAGATTTAATCATGTAGTGTAGACCCTCTGAGCACAAGGGACACTCATGACTTACTCATCCCACTGATTTTCATGGCCATGTTCTAAGCGTGATTAAATCTGGACACAACCCACTGTTCAAATGATTGTAAATTACTTCAATATTATACTGAATTTTAGTAGTTAAAAGGAAAGTGATGGGACTTATGGAAAGGTATGGGATCTGTATAGACCATTCCACAAACCATATTTCATTTTTATAAAACCATCAATGTCCCTTCTGCAGAATTGCTCCATTTTTAGTTGCAACTGCAAATATATTCATGGGGTTTCCTTTATAATACTGAAGTTTAGACATACACAGCAAACCCCTGCTTCTTAAAATGGACAGTATCTCCAAAAAGCCCAATCAAATGGTAACTAAAGGGAAGATAGAAATACATAATTCAATGGCCAATACCCAGACCATTAACTGTTGTTATCTAGGTAATATGAATTACCTTGGTCTATTCAGAGAAATGCAAGAACAGGCTTTGTACGAAATCTTATGCTTAGTTCCCACAAATGGGGGTGGGGGCTGGGGAAACAAACAAAAAACTATTAAAGCAAAAAACCAGATTACCACTAAATGATGGGTTTGAGGCAGCTATCTTGTGTAAGGTAGCAGAAACTTCATCAACATCCATATTTCTTATACTGCTGAAAAATTTTGAAATGACATCACTTTCAGATATCAATGGCCCAGAAAGAGAAGTACTAGGTGAATGCGGCTGATTCTGAGATGAAGAGTTTTTCTCTGTTGTAGGATTTGGTAAGCAGTACTCAGAGGCTGGATAATGCATTGCAACATCAGAAAAGACTGCTTTGTTAGGTTCTTCTTGAGAGGTAGACACAAAGGTTCCAAGTTTTTGACTTTTAGCACTGTCATCTGCATTCAGCTGTGATGCTTTGCGCTTACATGGTGGTTTGATATTCAGGTTTGTTCTCTTATCTACACAGGAATGTTGACTCAGATGATGCTTTCTTGAAAAACCTGAAGGGAAAAAGACAACTTGATAACTTCTTTCTTTAGGTTAACTTCTCAGCCCAGTTCTAATTTTGTTGATCCCCCATATTTGTGGAGGTTCTTTCTTTCCAATGCAAGGGGGGAAACAAAAAGAAGAAATATACAATCCATATCCCCTTAGAAATGATGTTTCAATTCAAATCAGATGTATTAGGATGTCAAATGTTTGTAGCCACCAAACATGGTATAGCGTTATCCCATTACATAAAGCATCCATATTACATGGCCATGTTGACCACCTTTGCCCAACCTGATATCCTCCAGATGAGTTGGACTACTGCTCCCAGCATCTATCCTTCACAGGAAAAGCTGGTCTAGACCAATATGACCTTTTTGGGAGGTGGGGGAGAGTGTTGTACAAAAACAGTGAACCATCTCCTGTTCCAATTTGTCGGTGCTTGTTGGTGCTGGGTCACTGAATTATTGTCCTTATTTTGATTATAAAAGTCTTTACAAGAATGGTATTTTACCTAGATCTCCTTTAGGCCCAGCTATATGTACTTTTAACTAGGTTTTAAATATCTAGCCTTTGTAGATCAAAGCTACTATCCTGAAGTTAAGAAAAGACTGGCTCAATATTTCTTGTCTATAGTAATGTCATCCCAAAGTTCTCCAAACTGCTGCCCCCAAGGGAAAAAGAGTTGTGAACTACATGTCCTCCTGATATGATGCTTTTCCTTTGCTGTCTCCCTACAATCCTGATTCAACCTGAAAAAAAAAAACCCTCAAAACAGTTCTGCTTCTTCAAAGCAGTTACCTTCCAATCCTTCCCTTATCAGTCCTTTGCATCTATCACTTGATGTGTCTAGCTTAAATAAATAATAGCAATGTTCTCTGCCACAACAACATTCTTAACATTGGATTTCATCCACTGGCAGCTAGACCAAGTAACAGCCCAGGTCACCCATCTGCTTAGTTCCCCAGCTGTTACCAACTTTGCTCCACAATCTCTTACCCATGGTAGATTCACCACCTTTCACAAAAGTCGTCATTGACGGCTCGGATTGATCAACTCTTTCATTGGAATTTGGCTTGGAAACTTTCTAAAAACAATTGGTGCATAATATGAGCTATTTAAGTCAATACATGAAATACATTAACAGATCAATGCTATACATAGTACATAGAAAGCACTGGCTGAAAAAATGGAAACATTTATCTTTGGTAACTTTGGTAAAGTTTTACCAAACATTTAACTTTGGTAAAGTCATAAGAGGGAATATCCTTCCAGCAACTTGTAAGATCCAAAGTTGCTCTTTGATTTTAGAGGCACTTTTCTTCTTACTTCCTACTTTGCTTCTTCCCCTCAAAAGCCCCTGTTGAAATCTGCTGTTCTAAAATACTAGGTTTTGCTCCAAAATATGCGGGAACATTATTATTAATTGCATGTATATACCATCTTTTTTCCTAATGATCTCACAGTGGAGTCTAATAGATTCTAACAGTTTCTTTATCTTGCATGCAAAAGACTTCAGCACTATAACTGACAATATTTGGAGGCTAATAGCAGAAACAGTAGAAATATTATAATTACATTTCTTCTTGAAACCTTCTCCCGATATGCCACCAATGAATTTGTGAGTTTCTGGGTAACACTCAATATAAAGGAAGCATCTTCTTCATCTACTATTTCAAAGGTTTTCTGAAAATAATACAGTCAATATGTTTTAGCAAATTATTTGAGAAAAATCAAACCTTTTAGAAGTATACACATTCATTGACATATTTCATGTTGTCAGCAAAACTGATAATCTGTTTTTAAATCCCAAACTTAAAATTCTGAAAGCCTAACCAAGCAAAATTGTTTAGCTTTATATCATTAAATTAATTAGATTAAACTAGCTTGAATCCAAAATATACCAATTTTAACATTTTCTCTTCAAAATCCATGATACACTAGCTTTACAAAGCTGTGACAATTTGTAACAAAATATTGGTGTTCCGGTGCAATGCTGCAAGGAAATTATAATTATATAGAACAGTACATTTGATCTTGATTCACAGTATGTTTTAATACCTACCAAGTACTTCAGTAGCTCTTGATTGTTAGAAAATTCTTCATCTGAATCACTTAATACTGCATTCCCTACTTGTTCTTTGTTCTATAAAACATACATATTATCTTTTTAAAGATCTATGACATAAGAAGATTATTTTCCTGCCTAAGGAGTATTTTGAGGACCTCTGAAGGAAAAAACGTTTTATTCATTATTAGAGCTCTTTATCCACTTTTATTCTGTGTAACAGAAAACACAAGAGCCCAGGTCAAAGGGCTCAGAGAGCCTCACTGAGACACCCAGAGAGCCTTTGAAATACAAATGCAATTACTTACTTACTTACTTACTTACGAAGCTTGTTACTGCTGAAACCTCCCAGTAAGGTAAATAATTACCTGATCCATCTGCTTGTTATCATTAGGCTTGCTGCCATCATCACACCTTATGAAACGCAAAGAAAATAATATCTATGAGCAAACATCCAACTGTCTTCTGTGAAAAACAGGAACTGTAGAAGTTCCAAATGTCTACACATTTAATCCAAATCTGCCAACAAGTAAAATTAGTGGCAAGCTCTTAATAACTATTCATACACACATACACCCCCCCCCCCCAAATTTAAAGATGCCTAGCACTGCCCCCTGCAGCTATTTCTCTAAAATTGGCAGGCTTTATCCACTCCCAGGTATTTCCTGGGTCTGCCTAGGCTTTGTTCCCCTGCCTCCCTTCCACCACTGGGTGAAACAGGCAGGGTGGGCAAAGCCAAGCTGGCCAGCTGCCCCTCCACTGGAGGAAAAAAGGAGCCTCTGTCTGTTTGGCTTTGCTCTCTGTCAGGCTTCCCTGACCAGGTAAGTCCCTGTGCAGCAAAGGAGCAAATATAACAGAATCCCCACTCTAATCTTCAATCTGTGATCAGAGAACTTACAGTGGTAATTCCTTTTCCCACCTCCTCCCCAACCCCTGGCAGGGGTAATGCTTATGGAAGGGATGCAGCTTGCTGTGCCATGAGGACACAGACCACAGATTTGGCAGAAGTTTCTGCAGGTCAAATAAGGAGCCCTGCATGAGTGAGACTCTGGACCTGTGTGCAGGAAATTCAGAAGACTAGGGAAGAGACAAAGTTGGAATAAGATTGCCTACGCGGCTGATGATCTGGGCTTTAGTTGAAACAGAATATTTTTTCTGAAAACATTTATCTTGACAATACAGTGATAAACTAGTTTCTATTCTAATTATTGCAAAGAAGGATCATGGAAAGAAGCCAATAACAAAAATAGCAAATTATAAGTCAGTACACAAATTATATGACTATAAAAATACAAATTAAATGAATATCCTTAGTCTATTCCAAGTGTCCATACATTTTTCTTGATCTTAATGTAAGTGAGGCTACATGCTTTATAATAGACCTATCTAATGACTATGCAACTTTCTGCTGATATGAGTGTCCAAATGAAGCTGAAATTAATTACATAAATAAATTCTGGCCTCCATGTAGCTGTGGCAACAAAATAAATAGTGAAGGATATCCTTTGCAATACCTGGGCCACAGGTAGAATATCTTAAATCTCATGTAATAACTTATGAAGTTGCTATAAAGAAGCAGAGATTACCAAACTGGCTTCAAGTGGTCTCAGGGCAAAAACAGCTGGCAGAATTGTCTGTATCATTTCTGCTTTGAAAATGCAGGTTGCATACCTGTAACTGTAGTTCTTCAAGTGGTCACCTGTGCATTCACACATATGGGTGCTGTGCCTGCGCAGTGCTCTATTCAGGAAGATTTCTCTGTGGGAGCCCCAACCCCTCCCTTCCCCTATATAATCGGTGGGCTCCCACCATTTTCTCAGTTTCACTGGAGACAATCATTTGCCTATTTGTGAGTCACCCAATAAATGTTAATATGAAAAGTAAGCCTGCATACAGCATCATTACAGGGTCACCATCACCGACGTGGGGTTGGTGGGTGGGTTGTGTGAATGCACAAATGACCAAAGAACTACAGTTATAGGTATGCATTTCTTTGTCATCGTCTCTGCGCATCACACATATCTGTGATTTGCAAGCTCCCTGAATTGGAGGCAGGGGTGTCAGCAGAAACCATCCAGATGAAACACCTAAACATAAGCGCAAGACAAAAAATTGAGACAAAATTTGAACTCATGTTCTATAAAACTCATTTATCGGGCAGATAAACTGAGTAGTAAGTAGTTAAGGCACTGTAAATTAACACAGAGAGCATGTGTGACTTAATACTAGCAGCCCAAAATTGAGCATGCATGAATGAAGAACATACCTTCATTCATGCACAAGAGGCTATAGCAAAATGAAAGACACTACTACTCTCCCAAAGGAGCAGTTTCCCCTTGTCTTCATGTCCAGTTTATAATGCTTAACAAAAGTTGATGGATTCTTCCATGTAGCTGCCTTACAAAGGTCCTCAATTGGGAGTCCAGCATGAAGGGCCATTGATGTTGAGACGGCTCTAGTCGAATGAGCTCAAGGCCACTCAGGCAAGTCCAGGGAAGACAGATTTTAAGCCAGCTTGATGGTATTCACAACCCAGTACACCAAGCACTGGGATTTACCAGGTCCCCTCTAGCTCTCGGCATATTTAATAAATAGTTGCTTTGTTTTGTGTATAGATTCTGTTCTGGAACGGTAAAATGCTAGGGCCCAACGCACATCAAGGGTATGGCGCGCTCGCTCAATGTCCAACAGTCTCCATGCCGAGACTGTTCTGACCAGGGCGGCTCAGGACTTCATGGCCTTCATGATGACTATGGGGCTGTCTCAACATGTCGTTGGCCCAACCCATGAATGAGGTCACACTCTGGACCTGGTTTCCTCAATGGGGAAGATGGTGATCTGGAAGTCAGAAACTTACGTTTAATTTCTTTGTCATGATCAGATCACTTCCTCGTTAGGTTTGAGCTTGGGGCTGGCCTTTCCCTCTGTAAGGGTGCAGATCTCATTAAGATGGTCTGCCCTCAGAGCCGGGTGAATCCTGATAAGATTCTTGAGGACTATGGGCAATTTTCCGGTTGATAAAGCTGGCACTCCTGTTGATGCACTGGTTGATTTGTGGAATGGGGAAATGACCAGACCAAGCGATAGGATTGCTTCTAAGCATCCTCTCCCGCCAGGCAGAGCCAGCTCATCACCATGGTATACACCTGAGTTACAGGCAATGAAGCAGGCTGGGAGACAATTAGAGCACAGGTCACGGGATGAATCTGACCGATCATGCTTATGTGCTCATTATTGAGCCTATGCTGTGGCAGTGAAGGCGGCGAAGAACCAATACTTCTCTGCTTCCATTGCCTCCTCACAGTGCCGTCCAGCAAAGCCTTTTTGAGTGGTGCGTGGCCTAATACATTCTAGCCCTAAAAAAGACCCAGTGGCACCATCGATTGCCACCTTAAGAAGAAAATCACTCAGATTTGTCATGAGCTGGATTCCTCAGTTGATAGGGTTCCATTAAGGGAGGTGTCCAGAACCCTGTCTGGTCCATCATTGGTGTATGAGTTTCAGTTGTTGGGGCCTAATGATGTGGACAAGGTGCTTGGACTGGTACTGCCTACCACCTGCTTACTTGACCCTTGGCCTTCGTGGCTACTCACTAAAGCCAAACATGGGATTGGTACCTGGGTCCAGGAGGTCATCAACACCTCACTGAGGGAGGTCTGGGTTCTCACCCCTTTGAAGAAGGAAGTGATCAGACCCTTCCTAAAGAAGGCATCCCTGGACCCGGAGGTGGCTGCCAATTGTAGACCAGTGGCCAATATCCATTTTTGGGCAAAGTGTTGAAGCAGGTGGTGGTAGGACAACTCCAGACACTCTTGGATGAAACTGATTATCTGGACCCATTTCAGTCTGGTTTCAGACCCAGTTACAGTACTGAATCTGCCTTGGTCACCCTGTACGATGACCTATGCAGGGAGGGACAGGGGGAGTGCATCCCTGTTGGTTCTCCTGGACCTCTCAGCAGCTTTTGATACCATCGACCTTCTGGATAGGCTGGCTGGGTTAGGAGTCGGAGGCTCTGCTTGGCAGTGGTTACGCTTGTACCTGGTCAGCCAATTCCAGAAGGTGGTGCTGCAGGACTTTGGCTCTGCTCCATTAGCAACTCTGCCATGGAGTACCACAGGGTTCCATTTTGTCCCCCCTGCTATTCAACGTTTACATGAAACCGCTGGGAGAGGTCATCAGGAGGTTTGGGCTGTGGAGTCATCAGTATGTTAATGACACCCAGGCTCTACCTCTCTTTTACAACCAATCCAGGTGAGGCAGTGACTGTCCTGAACCGGTGCCTGGCCAAGGTAATGGGCTGAATGAGGGCCAATAAACTGAAACTCAATCCAGATAAGACGGAGTTCCTTTTCGTAGGAGGTTCAGGTTTCCAGGTAAGTGATTTTGGCCCTGTCCTGAATGGGGTTGCACTCCCTCTAAAGGACAGGGTTCACAGCTTAGGAGTGTTCCTCAACCCAGAACTGTCCCTGGAAGCCCAGGTAACAGTGGTGGCGAGGAGCGCCTTCCTTCAGCTTCAGCTGATCCATCAGCTGCATCCTTACCTGGACAAGCACTGCCTAGCAACTGTGACACACACTCTGGTAACCTCCCGGTTGGACTATTGCAACCGCTCTACATGGGGATGCCCTTGAAGATGGTCCGGATACTTCAATTGGTGCAAAATAGAGCTGCCAGCTTGCTATCGGGGACCAGTTGTGACTCTCATATAACTCCGGTCCTGTATCAGCTTCACTGGCTTCACATTGAAGTCCAGGCCCAATTTAAGGTGCTGGTTATGACCTATAAAGCCCTAAACGGCTTGAGACCAGGATACCTAAAGGAACATCTTTTTCACTACATGCCCTCCCACCCCTTAAGATCTGCAGCAGAGGCCCTGCTCCAGAAGCCCTCCTTGAAGGAGATTAGGAGACAGAATACTCAGAGGCTTTCTCTGTGGTGGCGGCCTGGCTATGGAATGCGCTCCCCAGAGAGATCCACCTGGCACCGACATTATATGCTTTCCGGCGCCAGGTTAAGACCTTTTTATTCACCCAGTATTTTAATGTTTAAAAAATTTTAATTATGTTTTACTTCAGTCGTGGGTTATTAGTCTTATTAGAATTATTATTGTTTGGGGTATTATAAGATATCTTATACTGTTGTATTTATGGAATTTTGATTGTAAGCCATCCAGAGACGCATAGTGATTCCATGGGGTAGAAATATCCCACATAAATACATAAATACATAAAACAGTTGTCACGTTGTCTGAGACAACCTGGACATATCCACCACACAGCAAATTTGGGAGGGCAAGAAGTCCTTTGTAAACTACCAGAAGCTCGAAGTAATTGATATGAAGCTTCCATTCCAGCCGGGACCAGGTCCCCTGGGTAAGGAAACCACCTGAGTGGGCTCCCCAGCCTGTCAGA